GTCCCCGCCCACCCTGTATTTTAGCTTGTACTATATACCTTCCTGGCTCTGACTGGTTTTGGCAATGACTCACAATCTAAATCTCTTTCCTCCATTTGATATAAGTGAAACTATAATTATCTAGGGCTAATTTCAAATTACTACTTCATTCCACCAGCAACTGCTAGAGATTAACGGCCTTGCCTTGCGTCTGAGCGAGTCAGCAACAGAATCACGGGAGCACTCAGCAGGCAACGTTTGATGCCTGTGAACTCAATTGCTTCTGTCAAACAAATTCACTTCACCGAAAAGCAGAAACTTCCAAGATGGGTTTTTGCCAGCCTATTTTGTACTCAAAACAAAATTTCACATGACTCTTAAGGTGGAAAAAACAGCAGGAATTTCATCAGACATAACAATAAGTAACAAGCAAGGAAACATACTTAGATAAATAGATTTGGGACATTATTTGTTTCTGAAAATAAAAAAAAAAACATTTCAAAGAAACATATGTATATAATTAAGGCAGATAATTATACAAAATCGAAGCACATCTTACAAAAACAAATGCACATTATATTTTAAGTTAACACCATAGAAACCACACCATCTTATTACCTTATTACTCTTCACCCAGACGGTCATGGGTAAAGTTGTCTGTTTTTCTTAACAGAAGTCAAGTGAGAAGAAGTTGTATGAATATGACAGATCACAAATTAGAAATTTGACCGGGACTCTTGAATGAGTATTCTGGGTTGGGTGTATATTGGTGAGCTGCCTGGGTCCATTCATGCTCTAGAAGGCTCTGGGTTAATCTCCCTGGGCCCCACACATGAACACAGTGGGACAGTCACTACTCAGTCACCTTCCAGCACATATTTAGGGAATAAACCATTACCACAGATGCGTTAAAACTTCAGCCTCCTAATATAGTTATTTCCTTAATTAAACCTTAATACAGTTTGTTTAAAACTGATAAAATGTCATCACATCATGAGATCATCATTATAAATATATATCAATATGCTTGCTTTGGACTCTACAGAATTCACTAAGATGGCCTCTGTAACAGTCACTATATGAGGTGCCAATCTCCTATGATTTAACACCTGGAACTTGAGAATTTGGCCTGAGAGTCTTAAAGAGACTTAAAGAGAAAGGATCAATTTAAAAGATGCATCAGTTTATTAATCCATTCATGGGTCGATGGGCACTTACATATGCATGAATGTATTCATGATCTATGTGTATTTGACTTAATAAAATAAATAAATAAATAACTAAAAATAAGAGATACATCAGGCTCAGTGCCTGTAGCTCAGCAGCTAGGACGCCAGCCACATACACCTGAGCTGGCGGGTTCAAACCCAGCCCAGGCCTGCCAAATGACAATCACAACAACAACAACAACAACAAATAGCCAGGTGTTGTGGCAGGTGCCTGTGGTCCCTTGGGAGGCTGAGGCAAAAGAATTGCTTAAGCCCAGGAGTTGGAGGTTGCTGTGATCTGTGACGCACAGCACTCTACCCAGGGCAACACAGTGAGACTCTGTCTCAAAAAAAAAAGATACATCAGTCAATTTGCAGCCCAAGGAGATTTCCTGCAGGTAAATATGAAGGTAAAATAAACTGAGGAAACACAGTATTTAAAAACACAGAATACTCTTAAGTCTTTGCACATTTTCTTGCCTCTCTCCTGAATTCACCTTCCCTTTTTCCCGCCTTGTGATTTATTCCCCATTCCTTCAATTAAGACACACTCCCCGCAGCATTAAGAAGTGTGGGGTCTTAAGGGGGAGGGGAAATCATTAATCAGCTTGCAAATCAACAAACAGAAGCAAAATCCTAACTCTAAATGGTTCGTGAGGAAAAGATACAGAAGTAAAAACAACAATGAGTCTTGGCCGAGTCACACGGAGTCTAGGACGGCTTTTCTCAGAGACTCTGGGGCACAGGTCTGAAGGATCAGCACAGGCTGACCGGGCACAAAGCGTGGAGAAGAATATTCACAAACTCAGAGGGAGTAAATGGCATTTGAGAAAGTGAAAACACCAGCACAGTGAAGTGCACAGGGAAGGGGAGGAAGCTCAGTTAAAAAGAGTCGGGAGAAAGGGCTCCTCTGCCCATGACACCCACCAGGAATCTGGGGCGCTGGAGGAACGGCACGAAACTTGCAGCCTCCCCGCAAACAAATTCCCCGCATGTGAAGAAGAAGAAAAAAAGTATAAAGTGTATGTAGTGGATGTCTGGGTGATCACTGTATAATTCTATCAACGGTACTATCGATTCCATCAACATAATTTCAATTTAATAAAACTTTCAATTTAAAACATTGCCTAATAAAATACTGGAAAAAAATTAAAAAGAGTCAGGAGGGAGAACAGGAAGAAAACCATGTAGTTGCAACTGTGAAAGATTTAAAGGAAACCACTGAAGTGTATAAATCGTGTGTGTGTGCATAGGGCACGGGGTATTGGGGTATGAGACTAGCTTTGTGTTTTTGTATAGGTGATACGTGTAACTTCTTCAAGGTTCAAAAATAAAAATTTTATACGAAGTTATATTCATTATAATCAAAAACCAAGTTACAGCAAGGCTTCTTGTAGGAGGAAAGAAAATGGAGAAGTAGCTAATTTTAACAGATAGCTGGGCAGTGATTTCTGTAAATCTTTTGTAGGTATTGGAACCAGGTAGTGAGTGGGAAACAGGTGTCAGAGTTCATTCCTAGGCTGGCCTGTGGGTAGGCCCAGAAGGGGAGGTTGGCCCCTGGAAGGTGTGAGGACAGCACATTTTGATGGCAGAGCGAGTGAGAGCCTGGAGGTCTCCTCACGTCACACACACTCACGTACCCATCCCCCTTTACACACTGCACAGACAGGGATGCTTTAATTCTCCAAAGCAAACTTTCAGCATTTCTTTATTGATTCAGTGTCTTAGTCATTCACGGAGATCAGTTATTTGTGGAAGAGGAGGAGCCAGCACGTAAGGTCTGTGCATTGTAAACACAGAAGTGTTATCTGCATGGACGTCAAGGCATCCAGTTCTCTAGCCTGAGTGTTCAACAGCTGGCACGACCCTGCACTCACAGTCTCTACCCAGGGCAGGCCAATAAACACACAGATTGAGACAGAATCCAGTGAGCGAAGCTTCTTAAGGTTCAGTTCTCCTAGGTTGTTCCCACTGTCTATCAGGGAGGCTTCCACGTCTCAGTTATCACGAGTAAAGTGGAAGGAGAGAAAGGAGGGACGTGAGTTCAAGGCTCCCACCAGGAAACCCCGTCAGAACACCCTCCCCCACCCCGTATGTTCATGATAAACACCAGCAGAACCCAAATTTACCCCCCAAATATACAGAGGGCTCTTATACCCTCTGTTAACAGGAATGAAGACAAAGATCACTGCGGTTTTGAACTAACACAGCCACATATTGTCGGACATGGTGAAAAAAATAGCTTGTGTGACTTTACAGTATCAATGAACAGATTTTTAGAAATCATTAAGATCTACTTCAGAATATTTTAGATGAAAATGTATTCAATAGATTGGTTTTAATTCCTGCATCTGATGAAGTATGTATAACCTCTCCTGCCACCAGCAAGACTGCTCAGAAATAAAAGGTAATGTTGGTTAGAACGTTCCTTAACGCCAATCCTGAACAAGCTGTGAGTTTTTTCTCTGACGAACTTACAAGATTTCAGGAACATAATTTCAATTTAATAAAACTTTCAGCTACCCATGTGCATATATGTGTACACGTGGACGCGTGTGTGTCTGATTGTGTATATATATATAAAATCAGGTATAGAAAACTGTAGGTTACATGGAAAGACGGCCACGGAATTAATTACAGATATTAGGATAAGGACATAATACGGGAGCTGACCTCGAAGAAATAACTGCAGGTGAAATACAGCGTGTTTCTGGGGAGACTTGATGAACCAAAGTCATTATAATTCATAGGTGATTTCCCTGGTTCTGTTTCCCTGGATCTGAAAAACAAGCCTGAACAAATGCCTGAGTTTGATCAGACAGTATAGTGGAGAGTGAGGAAATTAGGGCCCCAGAGCTACTGGGTAGGGCAGAGGGACGGCCCCCCATTTCATTCCCCCTCAGTTGATATCCCCAATTCCAATCACCTATTTATTGCGCCCACGTTGTAGTGAAAACAAATTCAGGTACATGATAACATACAACTTTTCTTAAAGGGGAAAAGTTAGATTTTCTTCCTATCATCCGTTCTTTAACACCAAAGTACCATCCTGTTCCATAAAAACACCGATGAACTTTAAAAGGCCAATTCACCACACTCTGGGCAAAACCAGGGCATTTTCAAATGAACAGAAAAGCATGCATGATCGAGTTTCAATTTAAAAGAAAAATTAAAACAGAAAAGCGCCTCCAATTGCAAATTGCTTTGGGATGACCTTTTGTATCGGCTTTATCTGTAAACAGTTATTTTCGTGGGGCACCACTTATTATGCATTTAAAATTGATCTATAAATGTTTAACAACAAGCATGTAACAGCAACCATATGTAAACAGAGCAGGGAACTGATCCTGCCAGTTCGCAAATGTTCTGCTGCGAACTTCACGTAGCTGAACTTATTTCTGAAGCGTTATTCACAGGCAGTTAAAAGCCTGCCCCAAAACAATTCTCATCTAAAATGCTGCTTTACGTGTAGAGCGCAAGAGTGCAAAACAACATCCATTCCCCCGGACAGAGAACAGCAGTAGCAGATAGTAACCATACAATAAAAGTGAGCAGTCCCCTCCTTTGGGCTGTTTGAAAATAAAACTTCTGAAAGCAAAATGAATATAAAATACTACAGGCCAAGTCAGCTGCACCTATGAGCGTGAATGATGTAGAGCCAATAAAATATCACGTTAAATCTCTCCCAGTTGCCAGAAATTTTTAAATTCTGGAAAGAGAGAAATAATCTCCCCAAATGAGCAAAGGGCACGGTCCTGCGCTCGCCCCGCCAGGTGGACGCGCACCTGCCGCGCAGGCTCGGGCTGCGCTTACCTTGGCAGCTGCCGTTGCGCTCCTCGTAGCCGGCCTCGCACGCACACCTGCCGATGGGCACCAGCCACTCCCCCTCGGCGCTGCAGTGCATCTTCGGGGGCTCGTCCGTCACCGAGTGGTTGACACAGGAGCCTGACACCTCCAGCAGCTGGGAGGAGTCCGCCCCGGTGATGGTGTCCGGGAAGACGGCCAAGTGGCGCACCACCGACGGGCACTTCTTGTAGTAGACGCGCACCGAGACCAGCGCGATGCACGCCCCGACGTCCTGGAAGGCCAGGTAGAAGCCCCTCCGGCTCAGGGGCCCCACGTCGCGGACCTCCGTGTTCAGCTTGAGGACGCGGTCGCCCAGGTCCAGCTCCGTGAAGCTCTCGTCCGCCGCGATGGTGTCGATCTTCACGTACTGGTTTTCCTTGACGTTCCTCCCGTGCTCGTCGTCTGACTCGAAGTAATACATGTTAAACGTCTCCTTGCACGTCCCCAGCCCTCCAGGAAGGCTGTTGCAGTCCCGCAGCGTGAACTTGAGCTCTATGAAGATTCTGGAAGCACCTTCGTTGGAGATCCAGCTGGTCAGAAGCCAGTTGTTCTGGTTCTGCTCCATCACTCGGCAGACTTGGTATGTGTGGATAGGGGCGTAATTTTCATCCACTTCACCAATCTCTTCCCACTGCACAGAATAAAATAGGAACATTAAAGAATTCCCAAAAAGGGGGGGGGGAAACAACCAGAAAAGACAGCAAAAATATGATCAAAGAGAAGGAATTCAGATACAGCCACGTCTGTGGGATCAATATACAGTATTGATAAAAGGAACTTGATAGAAAGTATTGGAGAAGAGAATTATATATATATTTGTTTGGAATGTTAATATTTTATGGGGTACATGTGCTGATTTTACATACAATTTGGAATGCTTACATCAGACTGGTTAACACAGCCTTCACTTCACTTAATTATTGTGTTAAGACATTTATACTCTACTCTTAATAGATTTGGCATGTACCCTTGCAATATGCACCACAGGTGAGGTCCCACCACTTACCCTCCCTCCTCCTGGGGTTCACCTTCCCTCTCACCCTGCTCTTCTTCCCTCCTTCATCCTAGGCTATATTTGTGTTTTATCTTTCATCTGAAATTGTGGGTGATTATATGTTGGTTTCATAATAGTACTGAGTACAGGGGATACTTTTTCTTCCATTCTTTTTTTTTAATTAAATGATAGATGTGTACTTTAATGCAATCATGGGGTATACAGTATGGTGTTTTCATCTACAATTTGAAATATTTTCATCAAACTGGTTAACATAGCCTTTATGTCACTTTCTTAGTTATTGTGTTAAGATGTTTATATTCTACTTTTAGAAAGATTCACTTGTACCCTTGTGAGATAAACCATAGAGGTGATCCCTCCAATCACCCTCCCTCCACCCATCTTCCCCCCTCTCCATATTCTTAGACTATAATTAGGTTACAGCTTTCATATGAAAGCTATAAATTATTTTCATAATAGGGCTGTGTACATTGGATACTTTTTCTTCCATTCTTGAGATACTTTACTAAGAAGAAAATGTTCCGCTCTGTCCACGTAAACATAAAAGATGTAAAGTCTCCATCTTTTTATGGCTCCATAATATTCCATGGTATATATACATACCACAGTTTGTTATATTTTTAATTAATAAATTATTGTTCGTTATCTCCAACATGACTCAAGATAAACACACATTAACATACCCCAGGGAAAAAATAGGTATGAGTATTTCAGTGTGAAACTAAAGGAAAATTAAAGGGGGATGATGTGAACCAGAAGGAGTGTAGGTATAGTGTAAGAATGGTGGGTCTGTAAATAAAAGCATAAAGTTTGAGAGGAAAAGAAATACTCATGAAAAAGAACAGAGGAGTAAATCTGGAGCATAAGCAAGAAATATGTAAACGTGAAAACATTCATTTATTTAATTCTGTCATGCTGCAAATAACACATCAACGTAATAAAAGTTGAAAGAAAATTATTTAAAATGAATAAAAGATATTTATTTTGTCTATCTCCTCGGGATGCTTTCAGAATTTGGATAACTAAATATTCATTTATAGATTTATCCACAGATATAAACATGGAGATAAGTATAAAATAGAGATAAAAAGTTTAGTTAGTAAGATGGATAATCTCGCCAGTCTGAAAACTGACTAATTTCCTGGTATGTCCTTGGAAACGCACCAGTTTTTTTCTTATGAATACATTATTTTATGCATAACAGCCTTAAGATTTCTGAAGATATACAGCTATGTATAAAAGAATTAATGTAGTTTATATAGTTTCTGAAATGTTATTTGCTCAAAGAGGCATCATGAAAACTATCTCTTTTCTCATAAAATACTCCTAGTTTTGAGAACCTCAGTGTAACCATGCCCAGAACAGGACAGAACCAAATTTGTATCCTTCATTAAGATGTCATTATAATTTAAGAAATTTCTTCAGCCCATGTGTAAGTATTTGCATACAAAAACTATATTTTTGTGCACTAAATATTTTAATTCCATTTTAAATCTTTAAAATGTCCCTGAAATTCACAGAGCAATCAAAACATACTAATTTTTCAATAAAGGTGTGATTTCAGACGTTAAGTGTTATAGATAATAAACTTCATAAAAACTTCTTTAGGCATGAAATTACACATAGCATTATTTATTGATTCCACCAGCTGCAAAGATGGGAAAACTGTGGAGGCACAAGAAATGCAAATCAATCCTAGGCCCTTGGTAGCCCCCGCTGAAGCCTCCTACCATCAGACAGACACAAGTCACAGGTGCTAGTTGAGATCAACCTGCTGAGGTCCTCAGATTCACCAGAGAGACACGGGGATGATACCTTGCCTGACAACACTCACATTAAAACATGATGCAAAGCCTCAGTTCTTCCGTCTAATTTAATTTTTGTTCTTTCCCAAACTGTATGCAAACTCTACTTAGCCCCCGATTTTCTAAACCAGCTGTTGACTTCTGCCTTCTGTCATTAAACTACTTAAATGTTCTTCCCTAAAAGATTTAGTCATCAGTCTCTTTATTAGAAATGACCTCTAAATGTCATGATTAATATTTGATACAAAACAACACCTTAAATAACCAAATAAAAATGGTAAAAATTACCAATTTACTGTAACAAGATTACTTGAGTGCATATTATTTGAATTAGCAAAAGGTAAAACAACATCAAAAGGCTCTTCTCCAAAAGAAATGGAAACACTGCCATATTTTTTTCAAATATTTATTTCATTATATAAGATATATAATTTAACTTATTATTTATATATTTAATTAATTAATTTTTTTCTAGTACACACAAATGGGTTTTAATGTTTTTTTTTCTTGAATTACTTATAGAAGACCTACCTGCTGCCTTATATATTCTGCCAAGATCCTGTTAAGAAGTAAAAACAGACAGAATACAGCATCTTCCTAGGTTATGAGCCAAGCAATTCAGTCTCGTCTGTATAAAGTCCAGGGCAACAAAAATATTATTAAAAATGCAAGCCACCAAGCACTTGACAAGACAGCTTAATAGTTTCTGCTCCCAGGTGATAATTCCAAAGTCTGTGTACAACCATTTGGCTTCTCTGGATATTCTCAATTAAGAAGAAAGAAACTGTAATTTTCTTTGAGTTTAGAATCTGTCATGGTACGATTTCATTTATTTTTCTTCTCAAGGATCCAAAGTATAAATGAAGGCTCACGTTTTACATTCTCAATGAACAAACAGACTTTAAATAATTATAGCAATGAGCCACTCAGAGAATCAAAGATATAATACGCCCATCACCCATGTCCGCTCTCACGTAGACAGACATCCTAAGACATAAACAGAACTATTTCATTTATATTAGAATGACTGTCTGAAATAAAACTTTGGATTCTTCCAGGGTCTCTTCCCTTTTAATACAAACAGGCGTTCTTGATATTCTCTGCAAAAAAAATGAGGTATAAAAAAGAAGTAAGGGGGAGAAGAGAAAGTAACCCAGAGCTTTGGAACGTGGCGCCTGTTTCTAGATGCTTTGACAAATGTCAAGGCAGGAGATGACAGGACCTTAATGAATGGCACGGATAGAAAACAATTTTCTGTTCAATTTTGTTGGGTTTACTATGATTTCATGGTTTAATACGAATATTTGCTGGTACGTGATGACGACAGGTGGTGAACGTGGATATTTTGGAAGTGTCTGCAGTGCTGCTTATCCCGTCCTGGCCCCTGCCCGAGGCCCTTCCTTGGAGCCCCAGCTTTGCTCTGAGCTTGCTTCTTCCCTATTTTCTATTCCTTTGCTTGAAGACAGGAGACCTGGTTACACAGTCAGCACGGGGGTGGCGAGGGGTGGGCTTGATTTTTCTCCCTGATGTTTGGGCTTACTCCTTTTCTCTCAGAACACTGAAAATTCCAAACCAGCTGCACTCTAGACTCACAGCTGACCAGGCAACCCGTGTTGTCTGAATACATCAGAGACATGAAAAAGAAAACTACTTTCATGTCCCCAGTGTCTGATGGAGAAAGTAATTTCTCCTCCCCAGGCTCGCAAGAGCTCTTTCCCCCTGCCCGCCTCTCAGAGCCCTGCTGGCTTCTTATCCAACCTCCTCCTGCCTGTCTGAGGACCACCACCCTCACTTCCAACCCCACTGGCCTATAAAATCACTTCCTTTCCTTCAGAATGTGAAAAGCCTGACTCAGGACATGCGACGGACACCAGAACCTCCCCTTCCTTCCCTTGTGTGCCCAAACCTACACTAAGAGACGTCATCTGAACAGAGTCCATGTTGACCTTTCAACATATCAGAGGTACCCATTGTCCAGTTACATTTTCACTATTAGGTTTCAATGAATCTTGTTTCTATATCAAGATAATTCCACCGAGGTTAAGGAGCAGTGGTGAGAAGCTTTTTGTAGACTCCAGAATGGAAAGACTCCTTGGTCTTGTACAGAAGAAGACTTAACCAGCCTGAAGACCCAGGTTTAGTCCTACCGGTTACAATGTCTTCATATCTGAACTGAGATCCAATCTGGAATCTCTCCAGTATAGTTATTCAACATCTACTATCAGAAGGAGAAAGGGCCTCAAAGATCTTATTATTCACCTTAAAAAGAAGAAACTCAAGACTAGACAATGGGCAAGCCTTGCTCAGGTGCACACAGAACCACAGTGACCCTCTGGGCCTCTCTGCCACGTCTCTGCCTGGATGTGTAGATTTGTGATGGGATTCTCTGATTCTCTGTGTCACCTGCTCCCCAACTTTACTGTAATTAAAACCATGCTTTATGCCCATCATGTAAATATAAATAATTCTTTCTTCATATAATATTTAATGAAAAATATTTTTATTTTAGTATTCAGAAAAACAAATACATTTTTCTCAGAATCTGACACTCCAGGACACAGACAGGCACTCGATGGCCATTTTATAATGAATGAACTCTCACCAAACACACTCATGTCCCTCTCTAGGCCATAGACTGAGCTAATTTGAAATCTGAAATAATTCAAATGTGGTAAATAAATGATTATATAATTTGTGAAATATTAACAGCAAAGCTAAATATTTCTCTGTAAACTGTCCAAATTTTGTAAAATAAAATAAGTTTAAAAATGCAGACTTTTTAAAAATTTCAATAATTTTTATTAAAAAGTT